GGCTTGTAACTTCAAAATATTTTCAATATGCATTTCAGCTACTTCGGAGTCTTGGTGTGTATATTAGACAGTTGATCCACAACACCGCATCGGTGACCTTCTGTCTTCACATCGGCTAGTCTTTGATTTTGCCAATGGCTTTAAGTACGTACCAAGACACCAACTTACAAAGAACCAATAACTACTGAGTGTTGCTAAGGTAGAGGAACAGATCAGTGGGTCATCACCAAATCAATAGGTGACCCAACAGATACTTTCTAGACTTAGAAGTTAACTCTGAATTCCTCTTATTCAGAGTTAAGTCCGGAGTTATTTTTCAGCTTAACAATAGAACTCTAAATTCTTGTGTTTCAGAGTTAATGTTCAGAGTTTTCTTTTAAACCTGAGGAAAAGTCTCAACTCATTTTTCTTATTTAAAATACCCCGTTTAATACACGGGATAGAACATAATATATATATATATATATATATATATATATATATATATATATATATATATATATGTTGAAGATTACTTTACACTAGTTAATTTTTTGTGAGATCTTGAAACATATCAAGACGATTTAGATTTTTATAAGTGTGAAGGTTTTACGTGTTTCTCTTATGATGATTTGATTTTTTTTACATGAAAATACGGGTTTTCTTCATATAAATGTTAGGTGTTTTGCTACAAAATTTCATGTTTCTTTTTCTTGTAAAGGTTCGATGAAAGTCGTCCAGACTCGAAGTGGTCTCATTAGTAAATTATATATACGAAAATAATCAAATGACAATCTTAAAATCATGATAAGCAATGAATTATAACAAAAAATATATACGATTGCATTTAATTTATTATAAAGGGGTGTTTGGGATTGATTATAAAAACATATTATTGACTTATTTCGGTGTGGCACCGGTAATAAACACTTTTGAGTGTTTAATAATTAAGCTAAGGTAAACTTTATGCTCAAATTTTGGTTTAATAATCCTCTTTGCACAATTTTTAACCGACTCTTTTGACTTTAAAAACACT